TAAACTCCTTATCGTTTGATCGTCGTTTGCTCTACTTACTACTATGATTTTGTCTTAGATCATTAACTCACAATAGACGACATGATGCCACACTGTGTTGTCCAAGACGGTCATATATGGTACAGTTACAATGTATTGATAACATTAACAAAAATAAATAAATAATAGTATTCATGTCAATGTGATATCCATGGTATCAATGCTGAGGAAGACAATAATGGTAATAATACTAATGACACTTTAGAACAACTCACATTATTCAATGAATTGATAGATTCCATTGTTATCTTCGTACTGATTTTGAATAGAAAGGTTTTGAACAGAGAAAGAAACACGAGGATATCAACCACTACTTCCCTGTCCAATAGTTGTTTCCATATTAACTATTGCCTAAGAATAAAGTTTTAGCCACAGCCTCAAGCCAACTATGTGTCATCTGGAATGTGGAAGAACAGTAGTAGGAGAACATAAGCACACTTCATGAAGGGTCAAATCAAAGAAAATAGTACTATGTGTTCAAATATGAACAGCTACAATACATATATTACAAATTATTAGTTACATGGAGGCAAATGGCACCAAAAATAGAAAGAAATGAATTGTATGTGTACAATATTTACAACTGTATATATACAAAAAACCATTGAGGGGACCAGAGGCATTTCAGCAGCTGATGTCGAAGTATTTTGGATTAGAAGGGAAATGATATTCCACATGTAACTGCACACAAAATAACTATTAGAGGAGACAGAGAAATGAGAAACTAGTACGTGTCAAACTTTCCATAACTGATGCTTAACAATGTTTGAAAGCGTATTAAAATAAAGTGCGATGTTCTTCAAGCTCAAGACTGTTAAATTAACATACATATAGTGAAGACATTGCAAGTCTTTAACAATTCATTAAGGTTGCACATTGTTAGCAGTCTCATGTTGAGTAGGATGAACAACTTAAACCTTGAGATTTTCTCACCTAATGGACTAGTTGAATTGAACTCTACCCTTGTACTTAAGCACTAACAATGATTAGAGTTATAAAGCAATATCTTAGTCATCGACTAAGATAAGGACAAAATACTAAGCCACTTGTGCAACTAATTGATCACTAGATATATAGTTTTACGGGGCTACAACACAAGCTCAAAACATAATTAAAAAAACAAGGTTTCTAATCCAAGATCAGAGGTTCAATTACCAGTTTACAATACATATAAATTACAATCATGCTAAAAAAGCCAAATTTGTGTCAAAATTAGGCCTTCTTTCTTCATCAAGTAAATGTGAAGCTTGTACTTTTTCTTGAGTCATTTAATTATTTTGCTCATCTTTTAGTTTTTGAGCTTTGAATTGTATTTTTCTTTCATTATACACAATACAATAACCAGCCCCGGTTGCAGTTAATCTGGATTTGAGTCCAAAATAGTCTCTTTAAATATGAAAGAGTAAAGTTGCGTACAATGATTCTCCTCCATACTAAGCCACTTCAATCAAATACATATTTGCATACCTTGCCCTCATCAGAATCTGAATGACGATGAGGAAACACTACCCTCATATCATCATACAAGTAGAAGCTTCTTTCAGGTTCAATGTCAACAATATTTCTCACTTCTGCAGAGAGAGTGTCAGATTTGCACTTATGAACAGACCTTGAACGTCTTTTAGGAAAAGGGCACATAAAGCGAAGGTGAAGAGCATAAAGCAAAATGCCTGTGTTAATAGCATTGTCAAGGACCATGGAAGAAACAAGTAAAAAATTGTCTTCATCAGTGAGGAATGTGATTGAACTAAAGAATTCTTTCTTACCAGCCTTTGAACATGTAAAACTATCAAACTCTCCGCATTTTGAGGTGAGAAGATCTTTATCTCCATGACTGGTGGCCATGATCATCGGAGGCTTGTCATCATCTCTAATATCATAATCTTTTTGGCTTTCCTTACCCATCATGGACTTCGATCCAGACGCAGTTAAAGTCACCTTTTGCCGCAAGAATGTCTACTTTAGAGGAATACAAGAAAGCTCATTACACATGGAATTTGTAAAAGTTTTGGTATATAGCAGTGTATTGGAAGGAATAGAAATAATTTTCGCATATTGTTCATATTTAAATACAACTTATAGTTCAAATTACTTTAACAAAAGCAGGCTCATGCCAAGCCCAAAAAAGGGTTTTGCAGACTGACCATTCAAGGCATGATAAGGGCAGGTACAATTTAATTTATTAAATTAGTGTCCAAATAAAAACTTGCGAGTACACGGAAAAATTTATGCGATTACTTTCTGTTATACATCAAGCAATCATTGATTAACTGCTGTTGGAATAGAGATCAAACCAGCATAGGTCTTTAATGTTGAGGCCCTGGTATAAGGCAGTCTCCTTAAACCAAGTTGGTCCAATTGGCCACTATACTCCTTTTAACCCAGATTGTATCCAATAATTTGCATCACCGTTTTCATTAATTAGGTTCAGTATTACTGAACTGAATTTGGCTTCCACATTGAAAGAGTCTATATTTATATATCAGTTTCTTTATTAAAAGTACATTTTAAAGATTGTTCATATAATATGGAAGGAAAAAAAAATATGGTCTCTTACATCAATATTCCAAGATAATATATAATACATCTTTTTAATATGTTCAGGTTAAAAATTTTAATTAATACTGTCATGAACCAACTCTCCCAAAAAGCTTGACATAATGACTCTTACACGAGTCATTTGGGCGTAAAGTATGCACAACAATGTTATCCGTCCTGGTATTCAATCTTTATTAGGAAAACAAGGTGAAAGGATTGAAGAGGAGACCATTTGATCAGAGACTAGGATATACCATACATGAACCAAATATTTTAAGATGTTGGGTAAGAGTACATGAATAATCTTTGTTTTTCTTTTTTTATTTCTCTAACTACATCAAGTAAAACAAGCAAGTAAGAATTATATAACACGCAAATCGATGGCTTCCTGGAGACAAAAATTTGAATGTGATATATCCTACCTTGGTACCAGCTGGCATGTCACTCAAATCATAATTGCAGAAGAAGGTATGGATAGGTGTTCTCTCTGGATTGCTGAGAACCTGCGTTTGGGTAAGTCAGTTTGTCACAAACAATTGGTAACAACCATGTTAGAATTCCACCAGTTACATTCTAGTTGTTTCCACACAGGAACCATGGCTATGAAACTCATTGGTTTTAAACAAAGCCACATTACTGATTTGCCATCATATATCACCCTTCCTTTGGAAACTATGATCCTAGCTTAGAAATCATGACCAAGTTAGAGTATAAACCTATATGGCTGAGAGTAAGAATTTAGTTTGGTTTGTTAGTATTTAGGCAATGAATTGAGAAGGTAGATGATACTGACAATTAGCTACTAATCATGCATCCAGAATCAGACCAAGGTGGCCCTGACAATGGCAAAGTCACTTTCATTCTGAAATCAGTGATGACAGCAAGCACAACATATTTGTTTTATCACACTGTTTCTTGGCGTATACAGCGTATAATAAAGCTTTCAAATTGATCATGTATCAGATGTGAATATAAATTTAACATCATACAAGATGTGTGGTTGCCACTATAGTGACAAAACAGAAAGACTTCTAGCTTAACCAAAAAAACAAAAACCAAAAACAAAAAAAAAAAACCACTTGCTCTACACACGTGTGTCAAGTAATATTACTTCTTTTAATATCCAAATTCAAAGATCTAACTGATGAGTGGTATGATCATATAATGCTACCATGTCATGTTTTATAACAGTATAAAAAATATTGAATAGATGATAGAGTATTCAAAATATTAAGTAATGCACGAAGTCCTCAACCTCTGAATTTCCATTTAAAATATTGAGTAATCAATTCAAAGAAAGAAGGCAAGGAATTTCGTTAACAACTACAAAGGTCTAATAGTGATTTACCAGTTGAATACGTCCTTTCATAGGTATACGTAAGCGGGGCTTTTCAGATCGTGATTCAGCCATGCTAAGGGTTCTCTGAAATTTGGCAACTCTAGCCTTGCTTGATAATAACTTTCCTAAAAGATTTATTGATGAATAATAAAGTAAGTACTTGTCACCATCGACGCTGGTTACAGCAAATGGTATTTTTTGTGATTGAGGTGAGAAATTGCCTCCAGTTACATTAAGCATGGCAAGAAAGCCTTCAATTTTCTGCAAAAACAAAAACACAACAATTAGATATAAAAATAAACAGGGAAAGGCAGAGAAAATTGTGCCAAAACTTCCTTCATTTAAAAAGAAATTAACTCCTATTTCTGCGAATAATTCCAACCTGACCCAAACTTTCCAGATATTTCGGCGACAATGATAGGGCAAAGATTCCTCAAAAAAAATGAACCAACCCCCAAGGGACCTTTCTTTCTAAACTGGCAAGTCTACTCACAGTCCACATAATTTTTGGCATTCCTGAGGAGGAAAAGATTACCAGGAGGATGAGTCCAAAACACTCTTTTTCAAAAATCTATTATGTTATCAGTAGTAAAAAAGCAGGTCAGTCTTTTCCCGGCAGTATTGTTGGGAATTCCGCTTGATTTACTTGGATCTCCAGTGCAGAAATACTTATAAAACTGCCTTCACAAAGTTTCTAGCAATTGTTCAAACATTTTTAAAAGTCAACCAATTGTCATCTCCACGATAATTATCAATATTTTCTGATCCCCCACCAAATTTTTTAATTTTGAAGATTCTTTACCCCACTTTTTTTTGAGGAGCACAAAAAAAGGGAAAGGAAGCTGGTGGTCTCTACAGAAAACATTAGGTTTAATGAAAGATTGGATGATTTGTAAACAAACTGCTTTATAGACCATGTTTTTGCATGTTCACAAATGTGAATGAATTGGTTGATTGAATACTAGATACAATATGGTTCATATTAGAGTCATTGCACGATGACATAGTAAATCCCTGAAAACAAGATGTAGAGCAGATCTTGGAGAGGATACGATTGTTGTTTCCAATATGAACCTTCTTATACTCATGTGAAAGAACAGAATTATCATCACCAACCGAACGAAATTGATAAATACCACCATCAATGTCTAGTGTGTCACCTTTAAAAAGGATCCGTAAGCAAGAATCCCGTTCAAGGTGGACAATAAACCGCTTTTCTGACTTGTGACTCAGAAAAGCTTTTCAAGTTTTGCCTCACTGGTGACTTTAAACACAGTTGACGAAAATTCATTTCCATCATAACCATTAACACGAGGTGTTGATGCTCTTATTTGAAAACCTACTGTCCTAGGTATAGGTTTCTGCATAGTTTCCCTAGCATTAACAGATAACCTGCCAATTTGTTCTATGGGATCAACCTTTAACGTAGCATCTTTACACATACTTGAAATGTGTGATTCTTTTGAAAGCTCTGGAACATTTTTTCTTTCAGATTTAAGCACATCAGTGTGCATGCAATTACCCAGGTCTTCACAAGCCAAAAAACAAAAAGTTCACCCTGTAGTTGCTTATGCTGGTTACTCTAGGCATAGTTTGCACAAATGTGCCTAGCGATGCTGCCACTTCCTCAGCCGTGCAGCCTGAACACAGCTGTGGCAACCCCATTTTTATTTTTCTGGCAGGGTTCTTCTAAAATTTTCCAAAACGACCCACTTCTTCAATTACTATCTCTCATCATCACCATCTTCTAAGTGTATTCATGTATCAGCATTGGTACAATTATGTTTCAACTGTATTCTAAAAAAACACAGCCAATTGATTCCCCCAACGAAAAAAGTTTTTTTTAAAATCTTATAGATCCACTTTACAAGCGTCATCACACTTAGGAGGCACTCTCCTGTAGGAAATGGGGAAAAAGAAAATTATTGTAAGTTCCCTGCAGGATAAACACAATGCATACACATGCACTCACTTATCACATTTCTTACAACTTTCCTTTTCTAAAGGGTATTTTATTAAAAATTGCTGAAGTTAACCAATAAATTAATTCTGGGAAGAGAACAAGGAATACTCAAAAAAACCCAAAAATGATTCCCCACTTTGCCTTAAAAACCCAGGGGAGAACAAACAAATCTTATAGCAAGGGGCAAAAAAAAAAAAAAAAAAAAAAAAAAAAAACCACTGTGCCACAAGTTTTATTGCAAGATTTTGGATTAAAAAATTAAGTGAAGCACCATTAATTGTATTTATCCTTAATAAAAAACCACACACGAAAACCACGGAATCCCCCAAAATGCAATGGACCCCATCACAGGTTTATCTAGGACATCAAAGAGTTTAAAGTACCCTTTTTCTCCTCAAACCAAGGACGTGTGGGCACATTTATTGAAAGACTCGGCCGCAGCCGGGCGTGGCGTTTTCAAATGACATCAAGATAAATCCTTAGTATGCTCACACAATTTCAATCTTGCTTCACAAATTGACTCTAACGATTGCCCCGAAAGGAAAAGGAAAATTTTTAGGAAATTTTAGCAAACTCCACAACATTAAAGGACTAATATGTCTAAGATTTCCTTCTTCATCCTCCTTGAAGAGAGCTGTGTTGTTGAAGCAGGGAGGTATTAGCATGTCTCACGTTAAACGGGGTTGGGTGTTGAGTGTTAGGCGTTGGTGGATGACGATACGATACGGATTCATAGCCAGCGCTGGTAGAAGCAATCAATTTGTGGGGCAAGGCTTAGCCAGAATTTTCTGGCTGTCTGTTTTTGTACTTTGAAAACCACAACTTGCAAAAGGGAAACCTCAAGTTGGGTTTGTGAGTTTGAGTCAAGTTGCGGTTCTCTTTTTTTTTCTTTTTGTATAGCATCTCTGCCCGTGACATGTGTCGAACCATATCAACAAATGCAAGAGCATGTTTATATTTTTAGGACCATTTACCTTCGTACCAACCTACATTCTTTGATAAAAATATAGGCAGCTCTGTTTCTCATTATCGACTACATCCGCTGGCGTTTACGTATTAGCTTGGAAACGAAACTTTATCCATTTGCTTATTAAAACAATGTTTCATTTCCATTTCTCCATTGGGATTGTACCTATGCCTTTCATTTTCTTAGATGGATTAGTTGATTAGCTCTCATCAACCCCTCAAATCCAATTCTTATCCGGCACGTAAATAAAATTTATAAAATTTATAAAATTTCATGATAGGTAGTAGGTATTAATGAAAACTATATATATATATATATATATATATATATATATATGAATTAATTTTATGTTGAATATATACATAACATCATCTATAAATAAAGTAATATAGATTAAGTCTAAAATATAAATAAGAAATAATAATAAACTAACTAAAAATAAAAGATAACGATAATATATTTATTCTCTTACATGCAAATAGTATGTACTAAGCTTGTTATTAATATAATCAAATACTTAATAAAAATGTATTGTTACTAATATAAAATCAAATACTTAGTGAAAATTATTTATTTCTGTACTCGAGTGACACTAAATTCTTAATATTTGTGAAGACGACATAGAATATGAAATATCAACCAAGAAGATTCTCTTGAACAACAAATATGAAAAGTTACTCCATATAAATCTCTTCTTACAAATCGCTCATAACGAATGCATTGTTGATCCACCAAAAGTATAAATAAACAAACAAAAATCATCTTTGCCACAAGAGAATTAAATCATATATGGATGAGTCAAACCCAATCATGCCAAGGGAGGTTAGAAGAGACAATAGAAGAAGTCATGGATGAACACGAGAGAGAAACCTAAAAAATCAAAGATTCTCCAATCAAGGCACTTGAAAAAAAGAAAAAGAACAACCTTGATGTTCTAAATAGTTGTCTGAGAGGAGACTTGACGTATGACAATGCATAAAGAACTTGAAAGAGGAAAAAGAGCGACATCGACGCTTTGAATCGTTGTAAGACGTGCCACCATGCACAACGAAAAAGAGAACAGATCAACAAATTCAAAAGGCGCTAAAAGCACGTGAGAGTTTCGATGAATGCGTCATTGATGACACGATGGTCGCCTAAACGAGACTATCAAAATCATGTGATCATCGATCGAAACTGGAACTCTGATAGTGGTAGCAGTAAACAACATTGCAGCGATAGATGACACCGCCATCGCAGTGATAGATATACTAGCTCTCTCACTACTCATACATTACTCAATGAAAAATAAATGAGTAAAATTTATGAAATGGTAAATCACGATAATTTTAACCATAGTTTTAGAAAAAGAATAAAAGAAGCAAAGTTTGACACTAGTAGAAAAGAAAAAACTATAACTGTTTCGGTAAATTAAAATTAACTGGTAAGATAAGATTTTAGAAAAAATATGAAAACTTTAAATTAGTTCATATATGCACAATTTTTTTCATTTTATATTATTTTGTTTCTTCTGAATACTTGTTAAAAATGAAATAGCATTTATTGACAAAATTATATATTTCATTTTTATCTTATCTTCTCTACTTAAGATAACTTATGGAAGAAACTGTCTGCGCAGATCTAACTAAAATTAGGGAACATCTATAAATCAAAGCATCTATGGACGGAAATTTGAGTAACTTGTTTAAAACAATAATTTACCAAGGCTACGCTTATAAGTCAAACATTTCGAAAGGGGAAAACCTCTAAGGAAGTCCTCCCCAGAAAAACTGTACAACAGAAATTAATCCTCTAAAGATACAATTTGTAGGGATGCCCCGGTTGTAATGTTGATTTATACAACAAAACTTTTATGCCCCAAAATGAATAAATACAAAAGAAAAAAACTAGGGAGCGGAAGCGAAAAAAAAAAAAAATTGAAAATCCATAGCGATAAGCAAAAAACAAAAAAAAAAAAAAAATTGTTTATTGTTTATGGCGGCCCTAAATCATTGCTATCCTCACTCTTTCTAGGATGCCAAACAACACAAGCCCAAAACAAAATCAAAAAGGGGAACTTCATTATTGCTCCTAAATAAACAAAATCCATAAGAAAAAGTCCAAAATGTTGATGGCTTGAAGGGAACGAAATGATTTCCATGCATTGATTGACGCCATTCTGCGGGACTCTTCTTGTTTTTGGCTTTCCTCCCTATGTGATGTTTCCTGCACCAGCGGCCATGGGACTTCTAACGGGTCCAGGAAAGGTTTTTGGTTTTTGAATTAATTAAAAAATATCCCTGAGAAAACGCAGGTGTTCGGGGGGCCCAAGCGAAAAAACTGGCCCTATTGATGCATC